CTTTCTCAGAGAACTATCATCCTATGGACCAATGTCCCAAGTAAGCTATTGCAAGTGTTAAGCTATGAGATCCTTAAGCTATGAGATTTTTTCAGGGATGTCTGGAAGCTGGACCAAACATTTCTATGTTTCTTTAACAAGGTGACATCATGTATCCAAACCGAGAACGATGACTATGGTATCTGGTAAAAAGGATTCACGTCTTGATTGGAATATTCATAAGATTCTTGACAATCTTGTTTCATCCATGGAAGAGACTATCTTTATCTTCATCCTTCTTGGTCACAAAAACTTATCTGTCATTATCTGAAACTTGTGAGTTGTGACCTAACTGAGACTGATTCTTGTTATGTTTGCGCTTCTGTTTCTCGTTATGGAGCTGGACGATATGGATCAGTGGCCTCATGGGGAGTGTCTTCAAGTAACGATCATAAACCAAGCTTAAACAAAGAAGCATCAACTGTCCAAGGATTCCACCAACCGCTGAAGCCATAAGCGCATACGACTCAAGACCATTCATTTGATATCTCAAACCATACTCTGCAACTATAGCGTCTTTAGCAACTTCAGCAATGGATGGATGCTCCAAGACAGGAGAATCTTGCTCTTGTTTTTGCCTTGTTTCATTATATGCTAAAGAAACAACATGATGATGAAGAGAGAACGGATGTCACTGGAGAAAAGACTAGTCTGCAGAAAACCGAACCTTTCTCCTTCCAATGTACAAGAAACTGAGCCTTCGTCTTCTGTTACTTCTACTCCTACAACCACCGAGTCACAACAAGGTTCTTCAAGGAAAGCTTCTAGAGTTTGTTACTGATGTTCTGAAGATTGCTCTGAGCTGTATATCGCCGGCACCGGAGAGACCGGACATGAAATCAGTCTCTGAAGAGCTGTTCAGAGTTGTTCTCAAAAAGGACAAAATAGGAGAAAGATCCTAACTTTTGGCTTCACTCTGCTTTGTGAATGTTGTTTCTGTTGTACCATAAAAGGAAAGTGTAAATCTGAATCGAATAGTATTATTCATCTAATGATACTTTACAATGTACTTATAGAAAGATCTCTGTTATAACAATGAAACAGAGTATCAAATACAAAACTTTGCAAAAACAAATTTAGTACTTTACTTTAATACACCAAGAAGAGATTAATAAAACTGACAAAATCTCTAATTCTCTACTTAGGTCATGATCATATGATCTGATTGATGAAGCATCATCATGCTCTTGAGTCGATTCTCTTCTTTAAACCTTGCTTTCTCTTTGATTTCTTTGACTTGCTTCTGAATCTGTCACTTCCCATCTCTTCTCTCTCCATCGTCACCAGTCTTTCTCCACTGATCTCACCAGGTCAAGACTTTCCTCCTTAGGTCAGGATTGTTACTATCTCCGATGTTGAACAAGATGATCTGTATTTTGGTTTTTGCTTTCCCTCGAAACAACCGAATCTCTCAAACATGGCAGATTCCACGGAAACAGCCACATCCCAAGGATCACAATCAGCCACTCGTTTCTTCATCTCAACACGAACCTCATCAGCGACTTTAGACAGAGACTTTTGCAGAATCTCACGCACTTTGTCTCTCTTGGAATCTCCTGTCGAAATCATCTTCACCAGATTTTGACGATCTCTGACATGATCGCGACGGCTCCGTTTTGGACCGGTGGCGTAAAGGTACCGCATCCAAGTGTAAAGAAGATCGTTTGCTTCCGATCGGATTTTAGGGTTTGGGTGTTCGGTGCGAACTCTGGCCAGTCTCCCTCCGAGGGAGGAGGTGGTGAGAAAGCGTCTAAAGCGAGTGACTCGGGAGCTTCTTTCAAACGATCATGGCGTCGACACACCTCGCGACTTGTGGAGAAGAATCGCTTTTAGCCGCTCGAATTGCTGCTCGAAAAGCTCTAAGAAATCTTGCTTGTTCATGGTTTCTCGTTATCGAATTTCTCTGTCTCGAATTAGGGTGGAGAGTGTGGTCGCTTGTTGCGGTTTATATAGGCAACACCTGATTATGTTATCAGGTTTTGTTGTCGTCGCTTGGTCCACAAGACTCCTCCCCGAAGTTTCCCTAATTTCCTTTTTTTGTTATGCTCGTTAAAGGAATTTCCTTTTTTTTTTAATGTTCGTCAAAGGAATTTCCTTTTGTTGTGGTCGCTTCGTCGATGTGAAAAACACATTTAAATTCTAATTAGTTACCATTGTAAGTTAATCCCACAAGACTGAAGACTGCTCCAAGTTTCCTTTTTTTTTTGTTTGTCGTTGTTTAAGGAATTTCCTTTTTATTTTTGATTTTTCAGGTACTCACTTTACAGTGAACTTAATAAACCAAATTTAATGAAGTCCGCATACATCTGTCAATAAAATATCTGATTCCTAAAGATAAAAGGCTAAACCATGTACTTAAAAAAGAAAAATGTAAGAAGTTTAAGTAGATAATCTAAAATATCTAAGACATAAAAATTCACTATCTTTCATAATATATATTTTTCTTCAGATGTTAAACTATGTATATTGTATTTGTTTAATATTGTTTAAGTAACAAAAGTGTAGTGTTGTTATTCTTAGCGAGCGCATATTCATAAATTTTATAAATTTGAATTCAAATTTTAGGACGTTGGTGAAAAACCAAATGTGGCGTTGGTGCTGATTTGGAAATTGCAGAAACCGGGTCGGATTAAGTGGTTTTCTGAAAATTCAGGACCTGTTTGGTTGGTTACAAATAAACCGACACAAATAGCCGCTTGGACTACGACAGGGTTCCGTTTGGGATGCTCAGCAACCTTTGGATCGGAGGGAATCATGACGCCAACGACGACGAGAATCAGAACCGCACGGTTAATCAGAATCATAACACCGATGTCGTTAGCGACGAGAGTCCGACAAGCGTCGTTGAGCACGGTTAATTCCGTTGTTGGTATGCTTCTCTCCGCCTCTGATTCTGATTTTTGTTTTTTTCACGCTCTTGCAATTGAATTTCATGTAGGCTATTTCTTGGTTGTTAAATCAGTGTGGACGGACGTGTTGGGTTTAGTGAGTAAATCGATGAGAATTTACCTAGGAATATGAGAATTAACAATGCATATGATCGTTTTGTTTGTGGATTATTGCTCTGTGTTTATGCAAAGTTTTTGGACTTGTGGGTGGCTTCAAAATCAAAACTTGTACGACTGTTAGTCTCGTTTACATTACTCTTAACACTTAGTCTCGTTTATGAGAATTAACAATGCATATGATCTTTTTGTTTGTGGATTATTGCTCTGTGTTTATGCAAATTTTTTGGACTTGTGGGTGGCTTCAAAATCAAAACTTGTACGACTTTTAGTCTCGTTTATATTACTCTTAACACTCATTATGCATAGAAACTGAGATCTCTCTCTTACGACCTCTGGACTATTTTGATATATATAATCATATTGAAACTTGTTTAGTGTTAAATTTCTCTTTCTTTTGATGTAATACAGATAGCAGAGAAGCAATGAGACAAACAATCCTTGTCCGCAGGAGTCTTTCCCGAAGCCTCAGTTCATGTAAGAAATGCAGAAGAATAGTGGCTATTGAGGAAAACATAGTCACACATGAACCAGGGAAAGGTGAAGAATGCTGCTTGGAAAAAGAGAAGTGGAAACTCCGAACAAGTCCAATGCTCTTCCATCCTTATCGAGCCTATGAAATGGATGCAAACAAGTGAGCATCTTTTTTTTAACTCTAGCTCTATGTCTTAACAACTGAACTTCTTGCTAATGCTCTTACCGTTACTGTTTGGTTATTTGTAGTTCATGATGGATCTGTTGAAGAGAAGCTTTTTTTGTTTGGGATGCAAGGAAGAGAGGTAAAACTCTTTGGATAGCTAAATGATTATAGTAAGATCAAATTAAGCCTTGTTCTGATATTGAACATCAAATTGGAGAGTTTTATTGATATTCCTTTAGGAGCTATGAGTTGATGGAGAAGATGTTGAAGGTTTATGTGTACAAAGAAGGAGATAAACGTATAATGCACAATCCAGTACTCAGAGGGATCTATGCATCCGAAGGCTGGTTTATGAACGTTATGGATTCCAACAACAACAGATTTGTCACAAAGGACCCTTCAAAAGCTCATCTCTTCTACTTACCATTCAGTTCCCGGATGCTCGAGGCTACTCTATATGTTCAAGACTCTCACAGCCACCGCAATCTCATCAAGTTTCTTAAAGACTACATAGACTTGATCTCCGTTAAGTACCCTTTTTGGAACCGAACTTCCGGCGCCGACCATTTCCTTGTCGCCTGCCACGATTGGGTAATGTCTTCTCCTCTGTTTGATGATGTGACATTTCTCTATGAATTTATAAAAATGTGATCTTTGAGGTAATCTTTCTGATAAATATATGGTCTTTTGTGACATTTCTCTTTAAAGTTATAAAAATGTGATTGGCATACAACGGCTGGACTCCAGGTGGCACTTGTCAGGCGTACGTGGCTCATAGCAAGACGTTGAAGCAGAATCCTTAATCATGTCGAACGGCACTTTTGGTTATTGAAACGCCTCGGCCATGGTTCTGTGCGCGTGGCGAAGCTCCACAGTCGCATGGTCGTACCTCTCTGCTAGTGCACGTCAAGCTCGGTAGAATTCTTCCACCAGTTTCATAAGCCCTGGACGTTTCTCGTCGTACATCTCTGCCCTTGTTGCGTTTATGAAGGTTAATGCTTAAGCTTCTACCAGGATGTTGTGAAGAATGCTATGAGTTCTAATCAGGTCTTTAATCGGCACGAGTATAATCGGTTCCAGCTGATGGGAGTGCAGCCAGATGTCACTACCTTAAACATTTTGTTTAACAGCTGGAATGTTTAAGAAGATGAGCTCCGTTATATGGACTTCATGGAGAAGAGATGACCACTTTGGCGACTAAAACATTATTAGTACATCTTAATGAAGATGCAGTTATTAGAGAGATCTCACCAAAGAGTCTATGTTTATTTAGACGCTTCTAGAATAAACGCTTTTAGAGATTTAGGTAAAATCCCGAGAACTGAAAAATATCTTGAAAGGATGATTATTAATTTGTTATTATTTTCTGCAAAAACATAAAGGATACCAAGTAAAAAGGAAAATCAAGCAACAAAGGATGAGCAAAGAGGAAATTATGTAGAAAGGCAAACAAGAAGAAGAAAGGAAATTAGAATCACAACTCTATAAATAGAGAGGTCTAGGCGCTTAAGGTTTATTTTATCATCACAAACATCGCAAACCCTAATATCCCAGAAAATTATTGCCTCCTCTCGGAAATTTGGATTTTTGCAACTTTAAGATGAGTTCTCAAACCTATTGGAGAAGTAGCATAAGGAGGATTTGCGTTGAAGGATACGACACTTCGCTCCCTGCCAATGATGTCAACTTTGCTTTGAGAGACCACTTCTCTTCCTGTGGAGAGATGACACATGTTTATATCCCCAAAGGCGTTAAGAGGGGTCTTCTCAACAGGTTCGGGTTCGTTTACGTTCGGGTAGAAGGTGCAGAAGAGAGGGTGTTGGGACTTAGTGGACGTGACATGGGAGGACGGATTATAGTCGCCAAGCCTTACCCGTTTCATGAAACGTACCTTGAACCTGAGGTGGCTCCCCTGAGAGCTGCAGATAGCCCACGGCAACGCACGATGGTAGTAACCGGATATGACACTCGGCTTCCTAAGGCTGTTGTCGAGAGCATGCTGCGTATGCATTTCTATCTTTGTGGAAGGCTATCTTTTGTGCTTCCCATGGTTTACCTTTGGGGGGAGGACAGAGTAGAGACGGCGCTGCAACTTAGTGGACGTGAGGTCCGTGGATTGAACATTGTTGTTGTTAAGGTTTGTCCCCCAGACAGAAGTTTCGGGCCCTGTGGCTTTACCCCGCTCGCCCCTCCTATCTACATGTAAGTAAAGTTGATTCTTTGACTTGTTGATTAATCTTGGTAGCAAAAATCATCTATGTAAACCAACCTCTCTCTCTCTCTCTCTCTCTCTCTAGAAGAATAATAAAATTATCTACTGTATTAATAATCCCATTGTATATCATCTGATGTTCGACATATAAAAAATCCACTTGAGTTTATCAAGATTCAATATGCAAACCGTTTGCGAGCTTCATTCCCTAAGAAATCAATTCCCTTCATAATGTTTCTTTTTTCCTCGTAAATTAAAAGTATTACACCCTGACCGTTGTTACAACACTCCTAGTTGTTTAGACCCCATTCTTGAAGCTGCTAAACTTCCAACAATTTGATATTAGTGAAATCATCAGTCTCTGCAACTTGAGCTTTCTTCTTGGTCAAGTTTTCGCTTAGAGATTCCACCTCTCCCCTACCTACATCAACTTGAGCTTTCTTCTTGGAAGAAGGAGGGTCTTCAAATTTGAGTTCTATTGTTGTTGTAATTTAGCATCAGTAGGATCTAATATATATGATAGGTATGTGCTTCTCAAACTTGCTTGTAATTAGTTGATACGATTATGAAAATCACAAGTCAGAAAAACATACTAGTTTTGATCACCACTAGACTGATTCTTGAATAAGCTTCCAAATCTTTAGGTGATTTCTATACTTGTGTATCAGACTGAATAAAGACTAATTTTATTTTATAGTTCAGGTATGTTCTTCATATTCATGTTCACAGGGACGCTAAAGAGATTTTATTTTCTGTGAATGCTTACAAATCAAGTTTAGTGATTTGATGGATTCTTGTCTTTCAGTTTTAACATTTTAGGTGATAAAGTTGGGTTTCAATCGAACTGAGTTTCCTTTATCAAGATTCGTTTTGACATGATTACATGAAATTCCGTTTTTATATTGTTGTTCGACTGATTTAAAACCTGAAATAGACCATTTATAGAGTCGACATGATTTTTTGTTGGCATCGATCAGCTTACACAAAGCCCTAAACAAAGGTTCTCTTCACACACACTGCCTTCAGATTGAGCAAAGATTCCAAAATCCAAACTTTCTAACCAACCAAATCAAATCAGGTCCACCTGACAGAGAATCTCGCATAATGACATCAATGGCTCTTCCTTTTCGCCAACATTGCCTACTCCCCATTTCTTCTTCATCTCCTCCACATTCAAAATCAATTCTTTTCCCCCAAAATGCCATTCCTCGTACACTTTCTTCTCGCCGGAGCTCTCCCAAGTTTTCCGCCGGTCGTCACATTCTAAATTCGCCTCCGACGCAATTCACCATAAATCATCGGAAACCCATTTCGCAGAATGGCTCTCTCTACTCACCTTTACCTGTCAGATGCAGAGACCATGACGAACTTCGGTCAACTATCGTTTCTTCCGAGCTCGCCGATGACGAAAAGGCCGAAACTTTACAGAAAGTCAAGGATTTGGAGATTACCCACGAAACGAAGAAAGGAAAGAGTTTCTGGGCTGCCGTTACTTTGATCATCGGAACCGCCGTTGGACCGGGAATGCTCGGTCTCCCAGCTGCAACAATCAGATCTGGCTCGATCCCATCGACCATCGCTTTACTCTGTTCATGGGTTTACGTAATCTCCTCCATTCTTCTCGTCGCCGAGCTCAGCTTCGCAGCCATGGAAGAAGACAATGCAGCAGAGGTTAGCTTCACAGGGCTTGCAACCAAATCCTTCGGGAACAAATTCGGAGTCTTTGTGGCTCTTGTCTATGCTTCACTGAGTTTCTCTTTGATGGTTGCTTGCGTCTCCGGTATTGGCTCCATTGTCTCTCAATGGTTTCCTTCCATGAACCCATTCTTGGCCAATGCTATGTTCCCTCTAGTCTCCGGAATCTTGATCGGATTCTTCCCATTCGATGCCATTGATGTCACCAACAGGTGTCTCTGCTTCCTCATGCTCTTCTCTATAACTTCACTTGTAGCCATTGGTTTATCTGTAGCTAGGTCCAACGTGTTAGCCTCATTTGGTCAGTCTTGTTGGAGAGTCTCAGCGGTTTTGCCTGCGGTTCCTGTTATGGTGCTGACGCTAGGGTTCCATGTCATCACTCCTTTCATATGCAATCTCGCAGGGGACTCGGTTTCAGATGCTCGGAGAGCTATTCTTGTAGGCGGTGTTGTGCCGTTGGTTATGGTGTTGTCATGGAATCTCATTGTTCTGGGGCTTGCAAGAATCAATGTCACTGTGCTTTCTTCATCTATTGACCCAATCTCTCTTCTTCTGTCTGTGAACCCTTCTGCTTTATCTGCTGTTCAAGGCTTTGCTTTCTCAGCCTTAGCCACCAGTTTAATCGGTTACGCTGTTAGCTTCCCGAAGCAGCTTCTTCATACATGGAAGCTCGTGTCTAAGCAATCAAATGGAAATGGAAAAGGAAGAATTGGTTTGGTAAGTTTCTCATCGGAGGAAAGTAGTGGGAGAGTTTCATACAGTGAACCAGCAAGAGCTCGTGATGGATTCGAAGCAGTAGTGATGCTGTTTGTGCTTGGAGTTCCAGCTCTAATAGCAACATTCTTCCCCTCAACGTTCTCGAGAGCTCTGGATTTTGCAGGTGTTTATGCAAACTGCTTCCTCTTTGGTGTCCTCCCTCCTGCGATGGCTTATATTCAACAGTCCAGAAAGAAGCTTAGGTATCTTCAACACAACAACACACAACTTTCTCTTTAGTCCTCTGTTCCTTCATGTGAACTATCTTTGCAGGAATGATATTGAAACCAAAAGCTTCTGATTTTGCAGGTCGTGTGTTCTTCCGGGAGGCAACTTGACCTTGTTGATATTATTTGTAATCGCTATTGTTCTGGGAATATGGCATTAGATGGCCATAAAAAAGAAATGTAATGTTTGCATCATTCTACAAAAACATGTGCTAACTAAAAGATATATGCCATAAAAGAAGAAATATGCCATACTTTGGTTCACTGTAGTAACACTAAGAGCGATTGAGCAGTCTTTTAAACATAACAAACTCAAATTTCAGAGACTTGAGATGAAATCAAAGAGTTGACAATCTTGAATTTATTAGACAACTATGTGGTCAACATAAGATGGCCAGTGAATAGAACTCTGTAATCTGAGCAGCAAATACTGTGTCATGACATAATCTCTGTTACAATAGTGATCCTGCTGCAATCTACACAGCCTTTGTTGAGTGGAGACTAATTTTGTCACTGAGACTACAAGATACGGAACTTGAAAGAAAAACACACTAAGGGTTTAGGTCGAAGTTCGTCTCCAATAGGTTCTGAATCTTGGACAAGGAATCAACCTTAAAATCAGGATGCAGTCCAGAGACAGAAAAATCCTCTGGTGCATACCTTCCGGTTTCATCTAGCAAGCAAGTGAAGGCTCCAGCTCGTTTCCCACATGCTATCTGCAGAATTGAGTGAAAGGAAACATCAGTCAAGATGTAAATAAATAGTCTGAGAAGATCCATGTTTAAGCTTCTTTCATGGGCTTAAACGCGGATCTTCCTTTGGCCTAAAGACTCGTTTCATCATATATGTCACTTACATCATCTTTTAAGCTGTCACCAACCATCATGACTTCATTAGGCTGGATGTCCCATGTAGAACATATATGCAACAGCGGGTCCGGGTCTGGCTTATATGGACGAAACTCTCTGCCTAGTGCTGGAGAAAAGATGACCTAATACAATGAGAAACATTTTGTGAAGAACAGACTAGTCAAACTTGTCTTTAATTATAATATTTGAACTTAGAGCTTACAATGCTTACCTCATAACGTTGGTGGAAGATGTCGATTGCCTTCTTGACATTTCGTGTAATTAGCCCCCTCCTACAACGTATATACAAAACGTTGGTTATATTCTTAAGGTTGAATAAGTAAAACACAAATTACAGATAAGAGAATGTGAAAAACCGACTTTATCTTTTTGGAATCAAGAAAGCCACATAGTTCAGCAGCACCTGCAACACAAACTTATCTCATATTAGAAGAGAATTAAACCGCTAATTTCCAAAGAAATACACTGTACAAAATTAATCTGAAGAGTGTAGACATATTTCCTTCATCTTGAGTTAATCTCAATATGCTATATAGATTTTCAAATGCAAATCATCTTATATATAGTACTCAACTTATGTTCAACATCATAGATCCAATGATAAAATAAGCATATGATTTAAGTAAAACAATGAAAGTCAAATCTCCATAGACCAGAAAGTCTTGTAACAACAAAAACTGATACGTTTTTCTTGAAATTGCAGTCTTTCTCGATTGTAACTCTACCAAGTTCGAATTCTAAATCTTTAACCCATTTATGGGAAAAATATCAACTTTTTCTTACAAGATATAAAATCACATCCGAATATTAAATCTTTTGCCTCACACTTCCCACAAATCCTCTGCACAAACACAAACTCAAAATGAAAAAAAAAAAAATCAAGAGGAGGAATCCGTACCGGGCATGATTTGGAGCTTATCGATACCCTGTTTCTCATAATCGGCGATGATTTCATACGCCTTCTGCTGTTTATCGGAGCTCCACGACTCGATATGGTGGAGAATATCGATTCCAGTAGGAGACTCCGCCTTGATTCGCTTGTACTCATCTTCGCCGAGGACAGACCTGTACATTGCGGCGAAATCGATGACCGGAACCGTCAGGGTTCCGTCCATATCGAATACGACGCCTCTCAGGCGAGCTTTCGCGTTCGTCGATACATTTGCCATGGAAATCGAGCAGGAAGGTCTGAGTGTGAGAGAAAGAAATGTTCTTGATAAGAGGAAAGTCATGGAAAACAAATGGTGGAAGCAAATTAAGGCACATACGTTTTTAAACGGTTCTCATTAATCTCTTTTTAATCTCTTAGCTATTTTTAACCAGTCCGGTTCGGTTTGATTGAAATCAACAATTGGTTTGTTTCGGTTTAGGGAAATTAAATGTTTCACTTGAGCATGTTTGTGTAAGAGCTTAAGAATGGGAACAAAGACACCAACAATCTCAGCAACAATGGTTCAGCTGCCTCTTCTCTTCTTATTTTCTTCCTCTTCCTCACCGGTTTGTTCTTCGGTTCGCTTCTCGGCTGCCCGGAAATGTTCCCGAGCCGGTCTAACTCGTCCCACCCACCAAACTTAGAAGCCATTTCAGTGTTAATTCCACGGCCATTGACATTGTTTCTGGCCTGCGACGGGTTGTATCGAACTCTGCTGCTCCTTGTTATCTCCATTTCATCTTCTTCTTCCTCTATCCCAAATTGATTTGCCATTGATGTTCTTCTTCTGCGTTTATCCCAACCAATCAACTTCTGGAACGCAAAAAACAGCAGTGACGGTCCAATGGCTACGCCTAGTGAAATGAGGAAAGCTTTGGGTCCGGTGCTGAAAAAAAGCGATAAGATGATGAACGGTAGGAGATATCCATACGATTTGAATGCCTACAATAGTGAACAAAACACCAATCACAACGATGAACATAATCTGGTGTTGTTGCAAAGATAATGCAGCTATAGATTAACAAATACACTTTTCTTAGCTTTGAGTAGAAAGATATTATCTTGTGTTCATGAACATATAATTTGAAATCAAACTAACTCAAATTCACTGCAACACCAATCAATGTTCAATATCAACTAAATTAAGTGATCTTCCATGATCTCCACAACCATTTTCAGTAAGCAATTTCAATTGAAATTTGTCAAGCCAATTTCATAGTGCAAAGTTGATAGTGCCAATTTTAATTTCATAGTCCAAAATGAAAGTCTAAAGATAAAAGGGCCGAATTTGCAGAAACTTATGGAAACTAAAATACCTTTAAAATCCAGACATTATCTACAATTTCCTCTAAGATCTTCCACAGGTCAATATCACCACTACCATCATCATCATCGTCGTCGTCTTCAACATTATCCCCGAAGAGCTCTTCCCAAAGCTCCCGCCTTTTCCTCCTTCTTTTACCCTTTACCGTCCGTCCATTTCCGCCTCTCTCCGTGACGGCGCTGGTTTTATAGCTGAATCTCCGGCGATTCAGCGGAATTAACTTCACCACTATAGAGCGTGAGGAAGAGAAGTTGAGGAGATGAGAACGCGAGGAGGAAGATTCCGGGTTTTGGAATCGCCATTTACGGAGGTTTGAGAAGCTGGGGAAAATCGACGGTCGCGGCAACAAGGGACGAAGAAGCGGAAGAGCTCCTCCATCCGCCATTAACAAACGTCTCTGGCAAATCGAGAAGAGCGAAGAAAAATATTCTGCTTCCATGTATGTACACTGAGTTTGCGCCACGTAGTCATCATCTCCTCCATTGAAAATCGAATACCGTAAACCGGATTGGTCCACGAGAATGTTCTATAAGGGTAATTTCGGAATCACAACGTTAAATGTCTTACGTGACACGCCTACGTAGATTCTCTGCTTTCTCTGTCCAGTAACCCAGGGGGGAGAGAGAGAGAGAGGGAGATGGAAGCATCAAACGAGGAAAAACAAAAACAAAAACGAGGAGAGAAAATCCGAGGGAAAACGCGAGAAAATTTCTTAGGTTTTCTGCTATAATCTGCAGTTTTCTCTAGCGTCTGAGCATTTGAACAGCTGAAAGGGTTTAACTTCTCTGTTTTCGTCGGGGAAATTTCGTCCGCAAACGTGAATGTACCTTTAATTTTCCGCTTTTTGACGTCGATCAGAGATTTTGAAGCTTGGAGAGAGAGAGAGAAACGTTTGTGAAATATCTGTTGGTGGATCCATGGTGGGGAAATTTCCCTGGAAACACCTTCTAATTGGGTTCTCAGGGAATTTTTCTAATGTTTATCGCGTCGGAAATCTTCAGTCGGGATCGTTTATAGGAAAATCTGACCAGATTTGGCGGTGATAATGGTACCCGACTCTCTTCCCTAATCTGCATTGCGATTTCTCCGTGTTGTTCATTTTTCAAACTTTTTTTTTCCTGTCACCATAAATTTTCCTTGACATGAATCTGGCACAATTGGAAGGCAACTTTTCTTGGGGATAATGTAAAATACAGAGAACCAAAAACAGCTCATGGAGCTTGACATAGCTTTTTCTTATTTTCTTTTTTTCTATTATGGTTTACTTTGATCAGGCTGCTTCAGTAAAGGTAGCTGTAGGGTCGAATGTCTGGGTAGAAGATACAGATGAAGCCTGGATAGATGGAGAAGTAGTCGAAGCTAACGATGAAGAGATCAAAGTAAACTGCGAAACCAAGACGGTTAGCCCCTTTCTCTCCAAGACAATCTGTTAAACGTAGAAGAAATGAGTTTTTCTTAGTGACTATAAAAATCTTGTGATGCATTTGTTTTGTAGGTTGTGGCGAAGGTAAATGCTGTCTACCCCAAGGATCCTGAGTTCCCTGAGCTTGGCGTGGACGACATGACAAAGCTTGCGTATTTGCATGAACCAGGGGTTCTTCTCAATCTACAAGCCCGATACAATGCAAATGAAATATATGTAAGCTTCACCATGTAACCCTTATCAGTTTTCCTTTTTACCTGACAAAGCTAATTTGTTCTTGAAATGGTTACAGACATACACAGGGAATATACTGATAGCAGTGAATCCCTTTAAAAGATTACCCCACCTATATGGAAATGAGATACTGGAACAATACAAGGGCTCAGATTTTGGCGAGTTAAGCCCACATCCTTTTGCAGTTGCTGATGCTGCATACAGGTAATCTTCCTGCTGTATAGATGAAACTTTAAATAATGTCGCACTACCAATTTGTTTTTTGGGACTCACAATCATCAAGAATATAATTTTAGAAAAATGATCAACGAAGAAGTAAGCCAAGCGATCTTGGTGAGTGGAGAAAGCGGTGCTGGGAAGACAGAGAGCACAAAGATGCTCATGCAGTATCTTGCATTCATGGGTGGAAAAGCAGAGAGTGAAGGACGATCTGTAGAACAGCAAGTTTTGGAGGTATAGACTACCTACATTCTTGTCAAAGATAGTCTCAATGAGTATCTCTCTGGAGATGTCTTCTTACTCTTCTCGGATTACGTTTCTGTTCTGCAGTCAAATCCAGTTTTAGAAGCTTTTGGTAATGCAAAAACCGTCAGAAACAATAATTCAAGGTGGAATGTCACATTCTTTGACTGTTCCAGTTTATGTATTTTGTTGAAGCCAAAACTTGACATATATAGGCAAATCTCATATTGCAGTCGTTTTGGTAAATTCGTGGAGATCCAGTTCAATCATATGGGAAGAATCTCAGGAGCTGCTATTAGAACATATTTGCTTGAGAGGTCACGAGTTTGTCAAGTTTCTGATCCTGAAAGAAACTATCATTGCTTTTACATGCTTTGCTGTGCGCCAGAACAGGTAAACATGGTCCCTTCTATGGATACATTGGGTCGAACATATGAAACTTCTGTATGTCCAATGCTTGACCTTATATGAGATTCATACTGACAAAAATAGCTTGGGTTATGAGATTTCAGGAAATTGAGCGGTATAAGTTAGGGGAACCAAGCACATTTCACTACCTAAATCAATCGAACTGCTATGCACTGAGTGCAATTGATGATGCGAAGGAGTACCTAGCTACGAGGAAAGCTATGGACGTTGTTGGGATTAGTTCTGAAGAACAGGTACTTTCTAAATAGTCGTTGACATGAATCACATGATCATTAATGAGAACAACTCTTCTTACATTTTACTTTTCTAGGATGCAATCTTCCGGATAGTTGCTGCTATCCTTCATCTAGGAAACATTGAGTTTGAAAAGGGGGAAGAGTCAGATGCTGCAGAACCTAAGGACGATAAATCCCGGTTCCATTTGAAAGTGGCTGCAGAACTTTTCATGTATATGCTTCAGTATTCTGTGCTCTTGAATAACAGATATCTGGTCGCCGGAAGTTAGAATCCTGATTGCTCTTTGTTGGTAGGTGCGATGAGAAAGCTCTAGAGGACTCCTTGTGTAAACGGGTGATGGTGACTCGTGGTGAAAGCATTACAAAGTCGCTTGATCCTGGTAGTGCAGCACTAAGCAGAGATGCTCTTGCAAAGATTGTCTATTCGAAATTGTTTGATTGGTAGGTTAACAACAACGGACTCTTTCCAGAGCGCTTAATATCATTCTTGGGATTTGGAATGTTTGAAAGGTTACTAATTTGTTGCTCTCAGGCTTGTGACTAAGATCAATAATACCATTGGCCAAGACCCAAGTTCAAAATACATTATTGGAGTCCTGGATATATATGGATTCGAGAGTTTCAAGACAAACAGGTGCTTAACCGGTACGCTCTTATTTTCACCAAATGTGAAATTTCCTTTTGCAATATGATTCCTAAATAGCTACGTTTCTTCCTGCATAAATGCTCTCTGATCAGTCTTTTTCAAACCCCGATCTGATGATTTATTGTTGTATTCCTTAGCTTTCAGTTACTTAGCTAGAGCCTTTTGGTGGTCTAGGACAATATTAATATCTTCATTATTCATTGTTCCTAGTATTTCTGTGGTTAAACTGATAGTAGTAATATTGGTTTTGTTACAATTCTAATGTTTACTTTCTTTTTTCACAAACATTTTGCAGTTTTGAACAATTTTGTATAAACCTGACAAACGAGAAGCTGCAACAGCATTTCAACCAGGTTGGTGACTGTTGTTCTTCTCATAGTCTTAATTCTTGATTGATCTGATTTTGTATTGATCCATATTCATGCATCTGTTCTTATCTGTTCACAGCATGTATTCAAAATGGAGCAAGAAGAGTATACTAAAGAAGAGATTGACTGGAGTTACATAGAGTTCATTGATAATCAGGATGTCCTTGATCTTATAGAAAAAGTAAGTAGTAGCGCAATGAGTGGTGTTGGAACCTTTGATATTTTTCTGATCCAATCTTTAGACGTATATGTGGATTTCCAGTTCCTAATATTAAATTGTTTCATGTCAGAAACCTGGTGGCATTATTGCCCTTATCGATGAGGCCTGGTAATGTATCGAACTGTCATTTACTTTCTTTCTTCATTTATTCTTCAATAAGTGGCTGAGTATGTGTTTGCCTCTACAGTATGTTTCCTAGATCGACACATGATACACTTGCCCAAAAGCTATACCAGACATTTAATACCCACAAGCGTTTTACCAAACCAAAATTGGCTCGTACAGACTTTACCATCTGCCATTATGCTGGTGATGTTAGTGATCTTAAATTACCTCAGAAGCGTGTGCTTGAAATCTTCTTGAAGTTATTGGCAAAGTGTAAACTTTGTGTGATGGCTGTGTTCTTGTTCAATTTCAGGTTACTTATCAGACTGAACAATTTTTGGACAAGAACAAAGATTATGTTGTGGGAGAACATCAGTCTCTCATGAACTCTTCAGATTGTTCCTTTGTCTCATCTTTGTTTCCAAAACCGCGAGAGGAATCCTCCAAAACATCAAAGTTCTCATCAATAGGCTCACAATTCAAGGTATTAAAATGATGTTAAACTCAAAATTTCTGCTTAGATTTTCTACTGTGATTCTCACCATGTACTGTAATACAGCAACAACTACAATCTTTGCTCGAGACGTTGAACACCACAGAGCCGCACTATATACGCTGTGTTAAACCAAATAACGTTCTTAAGCCAGAAATTTTTGAGAATGTTAATGTTCTGCATCAACTTAGGTGTGGGGTAAGCTTAATGTTTCAGAGAACCATTCCATATGCTTTCATTTTTGCAACTGCAACAACCTTTCGGACTTTACATGATGTTGTGAAACTCTCTTTCCTGGCCTCAGGGGGTCATGGAAGCAATTAGGATTAGTTGTGCTGGATACCCAACTAGAAAGCCTTTCAATGAATTTTTAACTAGGTTCAAAATTTTGGGTCCGGAGGCTACAAATAGAAGGTAGATTCACCTTTACTAACTTTTGCATTAATCTTTCAAACTCTTAGTCTACTGCTAATAGATATTAAGGTCTTAGACTCATATTAAACTTTGCTCTTCTTTGTTAAAAGCTTTGATGAAGTCGATGCTTGCAAAAAGCTACTAGCAAAAGTGGACCTAAAAGGTTTTCAGGTGCGTTTTCATATTCTTATCCCACAGTTATCTAGATCGCTAATTTTATTGTGATGATATGTTTCATGGTCACACTGGACAAGACTCTTATATGAGCTTTTCCTCTTGTTCAATTGGCATATTTCCATGAGAAATTTGATGAGTTCTGTTAATACATTTATTTTTAAAATCACAGATAGGGAAG